CTTATGATATGATCCTATTTGCTGTCATAAATTTAAATTCCAAGCTTTGGTTGGGAAATGTGGGAAATAAGTCTATCTCCAAATATAACCTTGCCATGCATCATTGTCCTTTATGTAATGGGAAAATAACCATTGAAGAGGATGATTAGGTAGAAAGGACATCTATAATTTCATTTATGCTAAGCCATTTTTAAGATTAAAAGAACTAATGGAAGGTAATGTACCTTGTAAAGTGCTGATTGGGTAGGTTTTATACAGCACCAACAAAGTAGTAACATTTAAATTAAATGACCTATTAAAGAAAAAAACTGAAACTATCCATTTTTCTCTAGTCAATATTCTCCATAACTCTGCTAACAAAGGCTTAGCTACAATTGTTAGGTAGTAAGTCAGATATGAGCTTATGTGTGTGACAAAGGCTTAAGGAGACATTTGGGTCCAGTACATGCATCTCAAAGTCATCCCAATAAGGATTCAGGGGCAGCCCAGTATTTGCATCCTGCCCTGCTCCTTCTACCAGATAACCTGCCAGGTGGGGGTCCCCGCCCCTTCTGCCTGATAATCTTCCAGGTGCAGCCCAGTATCTGCACTTCAAATGCGCCCAGCCCCATCCTTCCTCTAAGGTGGGGCAATGCCAGTCAGGCTTCCCCATGTCTGATAACTTCAGGGGGAAAACTCAGATAGGAGTTTTTCTATTTACATCCAAAAAGTCCTTTGTTCCAAGAGAAGCAGAGGTGGGGAAGCAAGACCCATCTCCTTAACACCCCCCCTCCCCCCCCACCCCGCCGCAACCGGACTACGTGCTCAGCCCTCTGCCTCTCTGCTGAGCCGCCCACCTGGCCTGCCCAGGTGTAATCTCTCCACTCAACCATGTAACTCTGCTCTCCCCCAGTCCGAGCGACTGGACACTCTCTCAGGTTCTGTCTGGAGAGGTGCCCATCCGTTCTTAAGGATGCCCCTTCCCTAATAAACCTTGCTACTTTACTTTCCACTACTCTCTGTCTCATGCCTGAATTCTTTCTTGCGCGAAGACAAGAACCCTCCATTTGCTGGTAACACAATCATGACCCATATAGAATCTTGCTGTAGCACTAAACTGGCATTTAATCAGAATAAACTCTGAAACTAATATATTAATATAAATTTCAAAACTGAATGATTTAAATTATCCCCACACTTAATATTCTTCCAAGATATAAATAAAACCTAAATCTATGAAAGATATAAAATTTTACTTTGTTCTTATGTTCCCAAGAGATTGAATATGAAAATGGAAAATGGCCAGACTATATGTAAACACAGAACTACGATAAATAATCTGCAACAACCTGCTGAGGAAACTAATCCCTTTATCTACAATGAGCAGTCCATGAAGTCAAATTTCTTTTTCTCTAGCGACAACCTAGGAAGCTAAAGAGTAATTTCTATATTAACTGGTCCCAAATGGTAGGGACTTGATTAGTAACTAAAAGCTTCCCTAATTTTTGTCCGCACATCCAAATTAGAACCAACCAGAGAAAGCCAAACTGTACTCCTAACCAATCATATGGGATAGTTTGATTCTAGTTAGGCCACCTATAGCTTCTTCAGGCCAAGGCTTCCAATCAGTGAATACCCAAAGCTTTCTCACTCTTCTGCCTGCCTTTGTGTCCCTGCCAAATTGCAAGTGATGGGCATTGACTCTCTTATTACAACAAGCTTTAAATACACAGCCTTTGCTTTATCATGTAGTTGGTCTTATTTCCATAAATATTTCATAAAAAGCTAATAGTTAACAGTTAACTAAGTTCTTATCATGAATTATTAAATGCATTAATTGTTATGGGTTATCTAATTGAATTTCATAGTAAATATAACAATGCCTACCAAAATTGGTACTATTACTTCTTTCACTTTTCACTGGAAAGATGTTGAATAACTTGTTTGGTACTCAGTAGCAGTTAAGCAAGGATTAACATAAAAACAATGTGATTCCAAAGAGGGTAAATCTTAGCCACAATACTTAGCCTAAATAGGGAGATAGGTACATGTTTAAAAAGCTTTTGTAAGAAAATGGAAAGCATAAAATTAACATTTTATTGTATTTCAAGCTTACAATTGGTATAGTAGAAGAGAAAGAGAACTTGGGATTCCCTTTCTTGTTAGGGATTACACAAGTGAGGCTAGAGGAGTAAAGAAACTTCTCCAATATTAGATAGCTGGTGAACAGACAAGGTTAAGATTAAAGCCCAGCCTTCTGAATGTCAGTCCAGATATCTAGCAAGCTTCACTGGGAGACAGACATTTGCCGGGGGAGATTCATAACTCCACAAAGACTTTACATAACAGTGTAACACCAGCACATTCCAAACATACATTACATAATGTGTGTAATGTGTGTTTGTAATTTGGCTACATATAAATCCTTTCTGGAGATAATGAGCTAAATGCTATTTAAGAGGCCCCTTAATTTCAACAAATATTTATTGAATGTTCACTGGCACTACACAATGTTCTAGACACTAAAGTTTTATTATTGTACAAAACAAACAAAAAAATCCTATCTCATTTGTTTAGTTTCCAGTGAGAAGAAACAAATATTACACAACAGAAGTATAATCAGGCAAATCATACATAAGAAGGTGGTAAGTGCTATGATAAAACTTGAACAGAGTAAATGAAATTGGAGTGACATTTTGAGACACAGAGGACAGGTTAAACAGAGTGATTGGGGTCAGCCTCATTAAGGAAGTGACTAACTTAGACATGTGTGTATGTTGGGAAGAATGTCCCAGGAAGAAGGAACAGCCAAGGAAAAATCCCAAGGAGAGCTTGCCTGGCATGTTTAAAGAACAATGGGGAGGCAGTTTGTGGGATAGGGGGACACTGATAATAATAGGAGGTGAGGAAAGAATAAGCTGGTTTTTAAAAAACAAAGGATAGGGGCCAGTATTGTCACACAACGGATTAAGCCACCACCTGAAGGACCAGCGTCCCATATCAGAGTATCAGTTCAAGTCCCAGCTGTGTCAGGGTATTTGGATCCCTGCTATTCAAGTGGTAGACTTCAGATGGAGCTCCAGGCTACAGAAAGGTCAAAGAAGTGAATATAGTTTCTCTCTCTCTCTCTCCCTCTCTCTCTCTTTTATTTATTTGTTTAAAAGACAGTTAAAGAGAGATAGAGATATCTTGATCCACTGGTTCACTCTTAAACTGAACTTAACGGCTGGGGCTGGGCCAGGCCACAAGACAGGAGCCTGGAACTCCAACAGGTTTCTCATGCGGGAGGCAGGGCCCCAGATAACTTGGGTCATCTTCCTCTGCTTTGCCAGACACATTACTGTGCAGCCAAATCAGAAGTAGAGCAGCCAGGGCTCAAATCTGTGCTCTGACAGGAGATGGCTGGAGTTGTGGGCAACAGCTTAACCCACTGCACCACAATGCTGGCACCCATGTAGTTCTTTCTCAGAGTTTAATCATATTACCATCAGAATGGATATGGTTGACAAAGTCTTGCCACTCTAATTTGTTTTGCCAATTTAATCAATTGTGCAGAAACCGCATGTGGCTTGTACATTAATGATTTGAATCATAGGCCTGAGGTCTATTACTCAGAGATTTTTCTAACTTAATTGGTAGTGATGGGTGGGGAATGGGTGGGTAGGAAGAAGAGGTGCTGCCTGGACACTGAAGCTTTCGAGGAGCTCCCTGGGGGCTTTTAATACGCAGCCATAGTAGAGAACCACTACTCTGGCATATGTGAAAAAGAGAAGGCTTTGTTTTCATTCCTACTTCCAAGCAGTCTGCCCCTCATGCTCATCATTGTTGCTGCTCCAGTATTATCAACATCTGGCATTCCAAAACCACAGAGCCCCTTGGCAGAAAGATCTGCAGACACCTCCTGCCCACCCCATTGGAAACGAAAGGTAGGAAAGGCCACATTTCTCCTTTGCAGCCCAATTCATGAGTTCCCAACAAACAAGGCTGCGTGTGGGTGTTGGTAGAAGGAAAGTCTGTGCTAGTGGGTGAGAATTTAAGAGGAATGATGAGAGAAACATGTGGCAACATGGTTGGCATCAACTGCCTAATAAAAACATTTGAAGAAAAGTCTGTTTAATGTTGAATTCCAAATTTGGCATAGTTCTGATAGAAAATAGCCAGTCTCTTCAACTTTTTAGTAAAGTCCATTTCATTTATGTGTGTTTGGTACATTCTGACACACAAAATTTGCTAACAAATAAATAAATGAATTTAAATGGGCTTAACACCACAAAAGCAACAAATCCCAACCCAACCTTTCTCAAACTCTCCAATCTTTTTTTCTAGAGGCAATCACTTATATCTCATTTTTAGATTTCTCCTATTTGTAAATAATATGCTTACACTGCTAATTCTTGATATATCAATGTTAGATCTTGCATACTTATTTCCTGTCAAGATAGATAAGGATCCAACTACATTAAACTATCCCAAGTTTTCCCAACTTGCAACACTTAACAATTATGTCACTACTATAAGCTTTTCCAGTGATTAAATACGTGGTTTGAAATAACAGACTCATATTTCTATCGCTTCATTTTGTCAGATATGAATCTTGTATCACATACCCTTTTCATAATCTCTCTTCTCCCTTTCACATTATCATCTTTAACATTTACAAAGAGTCCTATAACCATAAAGATTCTCATTAGAATTTTTTTTTAATTTATAAAAAGGGAACAACCATAAAGGATTCTTGCTTTGTCTACAGGTCAACTGTAAATTTGAAAACCAGTGAAGGTTTATCTTACATCAATGAAAACATTATTCACTGCCCAGCCAAGTTGTATTCGATGATTATACTCAGTTTTCATACAACTTTTTCCCTCCACCATACTGGATTCCAAGTTGCCTTTTTGTTTCTGCTTGAACTATCTATCTTTAGGTACCATTATTTCTTCTCATCCACAACCACCTGGTATTTAGGGACTCTTTCTCTATAGGCAGGCCTCCTGCTGCACAACTGTCATCCTGGGACTTACCTTCATTGCTTTTCTGAATTGGTTTTACTGTTTGTAAGATCCAATCTGCTCCAGTTTCTCGGATACCTCCCTTGTTCTACCACACTACAACCTCAAGTAACATCCTAAAAAAGAAAATTTGGGAGGTAAAACTGTCAGTTTATGCTTAATTTTCTTTTCTATTCTGCCCCCATACTCTTCAATGGGTTTTGACTTGGAATCAAATTCCAGGTTCAGAGGCATTGCTTGTCTTCTACTACTCTGTCCTCTTAATGAGAAGGCTGTTGCCAACCTAAATCTCATTCCTTTAAAGGGAACCCGAATTTGCACTCTAGAAGCTTTAGAATCTTTATCCTTGCTAGCCTTAAATTTCATATCTCTTTTCATATCTCTACATGTGTATTTTTTCTTTCTCCCGCTCAGTACTCAGTTCCAAAACTTTTTTCTCTTGTTAAGTATGTTTCACTCAAACACTTTTTTTTTTCACTTTCTGGAACTTCTGATAACCTAGATTACTTCTTATGACATCATTTGTCATATTTTCTATCTCTGTTGCACTCTTTTTTCCTTTCCTCTAGTAGTAATACAAATAGAACCTATTGACTGACCTCCCAGGAAATGAGACAGTAAAATTAGATCTTTATAACTCATTTTCCCTCCCAATTAGTTGGAGGTTTGCCTAACATCAACCCTGCCAGGTATATGGTTTTCTGTGTTCATCTAAGTTCTGATTTCAGTGCTTGGTATCAGTGAACAAAGAAGTTCCTGATATCCTGGACTTACTTTTAGCAGACAGACACATAACTAAAAAAAATACACAAATGCGTATATATACATATTTATACATATTTTATACCTGCATCTCAGGTATAGTTCTGGAGCCTGTAACTGTAGTTTCTGAATTGGCAAGCAATTTTTGTTCAGGTGGGCAGTGGCTTCCTCGGTGGCCTGTACTTGCAGTATGACAGGAATTTTTCTAAGCTGGATCCATATTTTGTTTCTCCAGCTCTCCTATGGTTCTGCAACACATGTAATATTCTGTAAGAAATTTTTCTGCCCTTAAGTTAGCTACAGTGAATTCTATTCTTTGCAACGAATCTAACTGCTATAATATTCAAAAAAATAAATTGTATTTTTAAGTATGAAGCCTGCTTGGTATTTTTCTGTCCCCTGAGACCAAATCTGCAGGGAAAAAAAATCTCAGTTTAAGTCCCCAGCACAGCTCCTGTTTCCAATTTTGCAAGTACTCGGGCAAGCATTCCACCTATTTGCCATCTAGATGCAGAACTGGACTGATGAGAATTCCAAGTTGACAGTTAAACAAAGGCCTCTGCTGTACTAAAAGTGCCAGTGGGCTTAAAGATAATAAATCTGAAGGGCAGCTGAGCTTCACAGAGCTTCAAGTTAATAAAGGAATTTTTTCTAGAGTATTTTCTACAATGCTCTGAGTATTATACTATCAAATGATGCCTTTTCAGACACAGCTCATTGGACAAATTTACCTAGAGTATATGAAATGAAAGTTTACTTTGAATACCACAATATCAGTCTGTTTCCCTACAATTTCACTAACTCTGGATTTTATATTTAAATGAACCTTTACATACAACTTCAACATAAAAATATGAAAATTCTGATATGTCCCACTGGTTACAGAAAAAAACTGTCGATGCAGTCATTGTGACTGGATTAATCATAATTCATTGGGATAGGTGTTGTGTGACACTGGTTAAGATGCCACTTGGGATGCCCATGTTCCACATCAGGCTGCCTAGGATTAAATCCTCACCTCTGCTTCTGATCCAGCTTCATGCTAATGAGCCTGGGAGGCAGCAGATGATGACCCAAGTACTTGGGTTCATACCACTCAGATGGAGTGCCAGGCCTGGATGTTGCAAGCATCTGGAGCGTGAAGGACTAGATGAAAGAGATCTTTCTCTCCCTCTCTCCATCACCCTGCCTTTCAAATAAATAAATAAATAAATTCCATTATCCAGTCTCAACCATGCAAATAAAAGTCACAAGATTAGATACAAACAAGATTAAGCCTAAAATTTCGTATGTCCAATTTATTTACTATATTTACTTAAACTTTCTGGATTGGAATGGAATACCTTTTAGCAACTTGGGTTTTTTAAAAATAAATACCATGGGAAAAGCAATTTCATGCTGTATTTGCAGAACCAATATTAAAACGAACGCATCCAACTGTCGACAGCTGAAAAAAGGAGAACTTTCAAAAATGGAAAATGTATTCTTAGATTGGATAGAGGCAGCTGAATCCCACGATTTCCTCTAAAACTCCACAGAATCTAAAAAAACCTAACTGCAAGTTTATGCAATGTCTACACTCAGCAAAACTGAAGCGGACCTAAAAAAATGTATTTAAAAACATAAACTCATCTTTCAACTGCGAAGATAACTGGGGCTCTTTTGGGAAGGGATACAGAAAGCGATCCCCCGTGTGTCGAACAGTTGATGCGGTCCCCACCAGCTGCCTAATTTCTGACAAACACAAACTAGGCACACTCACTTTTCGGTACCAACTCCTAGCTGTATCACAACCACTGTGGAGGGACTGAGGACAAAGCCCGTTCTTGCTCTTCCCTCGCCCACAGACCACCCCGCGAGGCATGGAGGGAGTGGGGGGGGGCACTGAACACACTGATTTTTAACCAGACACAGGTAATCCTCACACTCGCCAACGTCTGGGAGCCAGACCCACAGCAGCAAGACTGCCGTGAACCGCACCTCTGGGGGTGGGCCCGAGGCACCTGTGGTTTCCAGAGCTCTCCCGGGTGACAGGGATATGGGGTCAAGGGCGACAAGCGCCCGGAAGCCGCGGGCGTCTGACCCCCAGGCTCCCGCCAGGAAACGCGCCGAGGTGGGCTCTTAAGCGCGGGAAGCTCGGCCTTTGCCCAGGATCCCTGCCGGGGTCGCAAAGGCCGCGCCTAACGCTGGACTTGTCACGGGCCCTCCCGCAGGCCAGGGCTAGCAACTCCTTCCCTTCCGCCCGTCCCTCGGCCCTGTCAGCGAGCATCCGCCCGCCTCGCAAGCGCCCCACACCGCATAGCACGGGGCAGGCCGAAGCGCAGGTCCCGGCTGTGCACGCAGCACTCCGCCGGCCGCCCGAAGCCCTCGGCCGCTGAAACCTCCCCTCCATCAAGCCCGGCCCCTCTGCCGCGGCCGCGGCTCCACCAATCGCGGGCCTCGTCTACCGCCGCCGCACCTGCGAGGAGGAGCCCGCGCGCCTCCGCCGCCGCCGCCGCCGTCGCAGCGTCCCCGCCCCGCTCTGCCCCGCCCCCAACGCGGCGCCCCGAGATCACCGGCCGCCAGTGCCCGGCATCCCGGCGGGCGAGGAGCGGAAGCCGCTATCTGGAGGCGGACTGTGGCGCGACCGAGCCGGGGCGTCCGCTGCAACAGGGAAGCGCGGGGCCGGGGGGCCCGGCGGAGCCCGCTACGTCCCGCCGACCCGGAGACCGCGAGTGAGTGGGCAGCCCCGCTGGGGAAGGCGGCGGCGGCCCTGGCGGCTGCGCTGGGGCGCCCCTCGCGCATCGCTCCATGCCGGTGTGGTGCTGCCGCTGCTCCCTGACCGGTCATTTCAGGTGATTTCCCCACTGGGGGCGGGAGGGGAGCGGGCCGGGGGTGGGGAGCGGCCGCCCCAGCGCCTCGGCCGTGTCGCCGGGGTCGGTCCGGTCTGGTTCTCCGCCTCGGCCCCCCAGCTCGGGGACTCCTTGCTTCGGGGAACCATATCTGTGGTGTCCGCATTTCGTCGCCCTGGTCTGCGCGGTCACACGACTGCGATACCGGCTAGGCCCGGCGGGCTGAGACATCCAAGTCGTGCAAAGTTTTAGGAAAGGGGTCCACGGAGGGCTCCCCCTGAAATTTTTTGTTTCACTGGGTGGGAGGAAGGCGAGGAACTGTTTCAGTATTATGATCCAGTTACATCCAGGTTCTGACTGAAGATGTTATGTGTATATATTTTAGAAACTTGGAAAAATGACAATTGTACACTCACGAGTAAAGCTTTTAGGGGTGATAAAGATAATACAATTTTAAAGTAAAAGTGAATCAAGGCACTTTTACAGGGAGAGGGACCAAAGAGACAGTAGAAACTGTTTTTTAACTGGGGTCAAGAAATGCTAAGCATAGCGAAGACTGTAATGTCTTGCTTTCGTAGAGAAATGTTCCAGAATAATGCTGTGTAAACTTTTTTTTTTTTGGTAAGAAGTATGACAACCTGATCAACAGTTGTTATATTAAGGACCATAGGTAGAATTTAGGTGGTCCATGAATTTGGATAGGAAGAACTATTATTTTCACAAAACTTTAAAAACCAACATTTGGAACAAATCACAGTAGTATCTGTGTCTGTCATCAATGGAAATCACAAATATTTTCATATCACAGTGACAGGTATCTAGATATACTGTTTATACTTTTTGGGGGGATAATTACTGTTACTACACATCAGTGAACTGAGAAGTACATGTATATAAAAATGCCACTATGGGAATATATGTGTGTGTGTATGTATGTATATATGTGTGTATGTGCGTGTCTATATATATATATGTATATAAACTGTCTTAATTGGCTTCCTTGTTAATCCTGTTAGTATGTAATGACATTGTTTAGAGAAGACATTGCTAGACTTCACCAAATTGCAAAAAGGATGTAAGGCACGGGAAAGTTCTCAACTCCCTCTTTTTGTAATAACAGTCCTGCTCAGTGAGTTTTGTGTGAGTCTCCAAATTTTAGATATATTAACAAAAATTTTTATGTACTAGATCTCCGAATTTTAACTTGTAACCAAGGTGGGGTTTTTGTTTGTTTGTTTGTTTGTTTTGTTTCATTTCGTTTTTTATTAACTACTTTATGGTGGTTTGAGAACCTCAGGTTCACATTGAAGAGTTTCAAAAAGCAGGTTTCCCTGGTGAAAACTTGTTAAACTGAAGCTCTGAGAAACTCACATGCCTTTCAGAAAATACTGTCCAAATGCTGTTGACCCCTTTTGAACTCAGAGGGGACAGATTGAGATTCATATCCTTTCTTCTGATACCATGTGGTCAATACCACCTTTGTGCAGTTTGGAGTTGAGGTGATAACAAGTTTTTTGCTATATTGTGGTCTTAAGGGACCGAGCAGAAAACAAGTCTGTTATATTTTCATTGGTAAAACAGTTCTGTTACATCTAAAATTAAAGTTTGCTAGCTGCTTTTGAAATATGCTTCTAATTTACTAATGGTACTTGAACTGTTTCATTAGAAACATATTTTACAACAAGTTGCGACAACATCTCGATTTTGGAATTTGCTTAATACCTGAATAGACAGGTACTGTGAGGAAACTGACCTCTAATTGTCCATACTTCCGGTTCTGAAGATGAAAAGGGTGACTGACTAAATCTGTGGTTTTAGAACCCTACTATCCATTTAGTAGAATCAGTTTGGTAAATTTTGGCTCCTGTTTCCAGCCTTTCATTTTGGTTTAATCCTTTAAAGAGTAATTGCTATGGTGAAGGAAAAGTCTTTGTTATCTAAATAGGCCTGTATCATCCTTTAAAATTTTTTTAAAAATTGGACTATAATGTTTCAAAAACAAAAAGTGAGAGGGTAACTTTTTTTTGCTTGTGTATAAAGTGCTATTTTTTATTACAAGGATTCTTCAAAAAGTTCATGGATAATTTGTATTACAGGAAAACTGCATGAATTTCAAAATTATTTGCCCCAAAATAAACTTTATCTTTTAATTCTATTGTCCATAAACTTTTTGAAGCCCTGTTTCTTAAATATAGTTATGCATATTTTGTGGTTTGTTTGTTTGTCCAAATAAACAAAAAGTAGATTTTTGTTTCCCAGTATAAATTTCTATCTTAAAAAGAAATGTTTATCAGGTTGAAAATCTAAAATGGAAACTACCACTGTTCACATAACTGATGTGGTTTGCATTACTTAAAACATTTGCAGCAGTACTAAATTTACTAGGCTCTGATTTTTTAAACTAGTTATTAATTAGCAGGCTTTGATTTTATTATTGCTTTATGTAAAACCAGTTAACCATACTTTTTTGTTTGTTACTTTCCCTCTGTTGATTGATTTTTCATATCTGTGCCAAACCACTTTTAGTTTATCAAATAGCATATACGTTTATTACAGATAGTTTGCCACGCATATTACATTGATGACTTCTTAAAAATATGAACAAATTACTTATATTGTATAAATTTATCTAAGCTAATGTGTAGAAAATTTAAATGATCTAAAAATTTTACTCTTACTTGAATCGTAGGGCATACAAGAGTCAAATTTCTTTTTTCTTTTCCTTTTTATATTTTTTCAAAGATTTATCTGTTTGAAAGGCATAAAGAGAGAAAAAGAAATCTTCCATTTCACTCCCCAGATGGCTGCAATGGCCAGAGCTGTGCCGATGGGAAGCCAGAAGCTTCTTCCCGGTCTCCCGTGCGGGTGCAGGGGCCCAAAGATTTGGGTCATCTTTTCCTTTCCCAGGACATAGAAGAGAACTAGATCAGAAGTGGAGCAGAAGTGGAGCAGCCGGTACTCGAACATGCACCCATATAGGATGCCTAGGATGCCAGCACTGCAGGCAGTGGTTTTTACCTGTTCTGCCCCAGCACTATCCCCCAAGAGTCAAATTTCTTGAGACACACACAAACACACACTCTCTAACACAACTACTAGACCTATTAAATTTACCAGTATTAAAATAAATTTACCAGTATTACAGGATGAAAGATAAATGTCAAAAAATGAATTGTATCTCTGTATACTAACAATGAACAATCTGAAAATGAAATTAACAAGGCAGTTCTATCTGTTATAGCATGAAAAATAATGACATACTTAGAAATAAATCTTTAAAGTTTAGGACATGTATGCTTAAGGTTACAAAACACTGTCAGAAAAAAAGAAGCCTAAATACAGGCACGAGTGCATAATGACATTTGGTCATATACTGCCCGGTGACATCATATTCATCTTAGTTTGTGTATGTATACTCTGATGTTTGCACAAGAAGTGACTACATGAAATATTTCTCAGACCTTAAAGTGACACATGACTGTACATGGAAAGGAATCCTATGGTTATGATTGAAAAAACAATTTTTAAAAGAGCTCTCTGCTATGACCCGGGAGTGCAGTGGAGGATGGCCCAAGTGCTTGTGCCCTGCACCCCATGGGAGACCAGGAGAAGCACCTGGCTCCTGCCATTGGATCAGCGTGGTGCGCCGGCCATAGCGTGCTGGCCGCGGCGGCCATTGGAGGGTGAACCAACAGCAAAGGAAGACCTTTCTCTCTCTCTCTCTCTCTCTCTCATTGTCCACTCTGTCAAACAAAAAAAAATCATAGAATTCATATGGAAATGTAAGGAATCTAGAATAGCCAAGAGAACCTTTGAAAAAGAACAAAGTTAAAGAATTCACACTTCATCATTTCAAAACATACTACCAAGCAACAATAATCAAGATGATATGGTTCTGGCATATAGAACAATAGATCAATGGAATAGAATTGAGAATACAGAAATAAATCCCAAATACATTGCTGGTGAATTGATTTTGATGAGGACCCTGAGATGGTGTCCAAATATCAGGATGGCTGAATATCCATAAATAAAAAGAATGGTATACTCCTACCTCACACCATGTACAAAAATTACAACAAGATGAAGGACCTAAAGAACTAAGAACTCAAAGTATAAAGCTCTTAGAACAGGGGCCAGTGTTGTGCATAGCAAGTAAAGCTGCTGCAAGCAACACCATCGTCCCATATGGGCACAGGTTCGTGTCCCAGCTTCTCCACTTCTGATCCAGTTCCATGCGAATAGCCTGGGGAAAGCAGTGAAAGATGGCCCAAGTGATTGGGCCTCTGCTATCTATGTGGGAGACCTGGAAGAAACTCGTGGTTCCTGCTTCAGCCTGGCCTAGCCCTGACTGTTGTTGCCATCTAGGGAGTAAAGTAGTGGATACAAGATCTATCTCTCTCTGTCTCCGTAACTCTGATTTTCAAATAAATAAATAAACTTAAAAAAAAAAAAAAACTCTTAGAAGAAAGCTTAGAAATAAATCTTTTTGACTATGGATGAGGCAGTGATTTCTTTAGATGTGACGGCAAAAGCAACACCAACAAAAAAGTAAAGTTGGACTTCAGAATGTAAAGCTTACATGATTTAAAAGACATCATGAAAAGAGTGAAAAAGTCCGTGGAATGGGAAATATTTAGAGCCACGTATATAAAAAAGTAACTTGTATCTAGAATGTATAAAGAACTTTAAAGCTTAACAATAAAAATTTAAAAAATTGACAAAGGATTTCTTTAGATATTTCTCCAAAGAAGGTATTCAGATGGCAGATAAGCATATGCAAAGATGCTTAGCCTTACGAGGCATTACAGAAGAACAATTAAAAACTGCAGTGAGGTACCATTTCACATCTACTTGGATAGCTAAGGTGAAAAGTAACAGTGTTTGTAAGGATGTGGAGTAATTGGAACCCTTGGATGTTAGGAATATTAACTGTCACAGAGACTCAGTTTGGCACCTCCTGAAGATGTTAATGTAGAGTTTATGACCAAGCCATTGTATTTCTAGAAACATACCCTAGAGAAATGAAAACATGTGTCCACATAAAACTTACCCATGTATCTGTAGCAGCATTATTCGTAATTTCCATCATAGCCAAAAAATGCAAACAATTGAATGAATAAACAAAATGTATATGCATATAGTGGAATATTATTCAGCTATCAAGGGAGTAAACCTTAAAAACATGCTCAGTGGAAAAAGAAGCTAGACACAGAAGGCCACATATTGTATGGGTGGTTTCACTGATACGCGTTGTCCGGGACAAGCCAGGGAATAAAACTCTCATGTTAAATGCTGTTGCTAAGAGGCAGAAGCAAGCAAGACAGCAGATGCATCTGTGTCTGATCAGAAGCAGTAGATGAAATGATTCTGAAAAGAGTGGATTGAGTGTAAGACACGTCCTTCCTGAGGCAGGTTTGAAGTGTGAGGAAGGGCCTTCCCTTCATAGCCGTGCCCAGTTAGTTATCTCTTCTGGTCAGAAGGGGCCATGCTGGAGGAGTTTAGGTGTTTGTGGGTGGAGGTTACTTTCTTTGGTTCAGGAAAGCTTTCTGTATTCTTCAGAACTCTGCCTGTCTCAGGGTAGATTTGGAACTCTGAATGTTACTAGGAAGCAGAAATAATTCCCTAATTATTTCCAGTTTACCACTTTAGAGATTAGCGAGTTGGCTGAAGTTCTATGAAATAACTGATCTATCCCATAGTTATCATTTTAGGACTAATATTAAACATACCCACTAATAGATACTCAAGTATAATACTTTTAGACATTATGAGTATTGCTGACTATATTAAGAGAAATCAGGGCCGGTGCCGCGGCTCAACAGGTTAATCCTCCGCCTTGCAGCGCCGGCACACCAGGTTCTAGTCCCGGTTGGGGCGCCGGATTCTGTCCCAGTTGCCCCTCTTCCAGGCCAACTCTCTGCTGTGGCCAGGGAGTGCAGTGGAGGATGGCCCAAGTCCTTGGGCCCTGCACCCGCATGGGAGACCAGGAGAGGCACTTGGCTCCTGCCTTCAGATCAGCGCGGTGCGCCAGCCGCAGCACACCGGCCGCGGCGGCCATTGGAGGGTGAACCAATGGTAAAGGAAGACCTTTCTCTCTGTCTCTCTCTCTCTCTCACTGTCCACTCTGCCTGTCAAAAAAAAAAAAAAAAAGAAAAGAAAAAGAATAATCAGGAATTCTGTACTAGCGTACTCTCTGGAGTGATGCTTTATTTTGTGAACATGGCAGATAAGCTAAAATTGATTCTGAAGAGGCAGTGAGAAAGGTGGTAGTCAACGTTAAGGTCTTATATTAATATGTCTTTGAGGATAAAAATGTATAAACCTCATTGCTAATGTCAAAATTCATAATTTATGATATTAAAGGACAGTAATTTTTCCTTAAACCATGTGACTATATTATCTTTAATAAATGAGAAAAATGGAGAGGGGAAACTAGCCATTCCTGGGAGATTTCAGAGAATTATAAAATCCACACTACAGTGCTTTGCCTTTGATTATTAAGGAGAGCTTCGTATTTAGTAGGAACTTGCCTATAAGATACTAGATAAGCAGCTATTTAGGATTTTTGTCCTTCAAAATGGTGTGAGTTGATACGTACCAGAGCTACTAACTTGAAAACATTAACCAGAAACTTTCTCTCTCATGAAACAATGAATATTTTATGGCCTAAATAACATCTGAATGAAAACTGATTTTTATAAAGGCACTATTGACATTTTTTTTTCTCTTTTTTTTTTTTCAAAGAAACTATAGTGACAGTGAAACTGAAGGAGAGATTTTTAATTCCCTAGTGCAATATTTTGGTGATAATTTGGGGCAAAAAGTTAAAGCGATGCCATTAGTTGAAGAAACTTCTTTACTTGGGGACTCGTCTGTGACTTTGCCTGTGGTAATAATAGGTAAGTTATTGCATTTTATCTCTTAAAATTAGTTCTGATCCTTATTATTTTTATAAATGTACAATTAGGCAGTGTAGGTTCTTAGGATTATACTTATAAAATAGTGAAAAATATTCTTAGGTTATTTGATACATTAAAATAGCTAATAACCAGGACTGGTGTTGTGGTATGGTGGGTTAAGCTGCTGTCTCTATGCAGCTCTGGCATCCCATATGGACAATAGTTCAAGTCCAAGCTGCTCCACTTCCTCCCTGCTTCCTGCTAGTGGCTGGGGAAAGCAGCAAAAGATTGCCCAAGTTCTGGGCCTCCTGCCATCCACTTGGGAGACCAGAAGAAGATGTTGGCTCCTGGCTTCAGGGAATGGACCAGTGGATGGAAGGTTTGTCTCTGTCCCTCCTTTTCTCATTCTGTATCTCTGCCTTTCAAATAAATTTTAAAAAGAGCTGATAACCAAATCTCTAGAGAATTTGTTTTATCTGATGGGAATCTATTAGAATTTAATACCTTTTCAGTGGAGGACCGATACTGCATATCAGTTGTGTTAACTTTATGACCAGTATTATGCTAATGATGATAACCAGTATTTTTAGAGTTCTGTTCAGAGAATTCTGTGTGTATTATGGCATTATACCTTGCAACACTATAGCCCCCTGATGTTTGTAAGGCAGATGTAGGGAAATGGATTCAGAAGTTGAATGATGTGTGCAATGTAGTAACTAGTACTCAATTAGCATAGACATAATACGCCACAGTGTGATTATAATTAACCATAATATTACTATTATTTATCCTTTGTATCACCTCAAAAGATAGGCATAAAAGATGTCAGGCATGAAAAATACTAAAATTAAGCTATTAATAAAATGTAATTTCAAATTATAATAGTTTTATAATTTCATTTAAATATCTGTCATGCATATTTTACATCTAATATTCAAACTCAAGGAAGTCAGACAGTACTGTTTGTGTAAAGCCAAGGCAAAGGGGAGAATTTTGGGACATAAGTGCATTTGGGACATAAGTGGCATTTCACTTCCTGTGTCTCTTTGATAGTTTGTTGCAGAGATAGTAGAAAGAGGGTTAAGGTTGTGTCTATGGCTGGCATATGGGAGATGCTAGGAGGGAGAGGAAGGAGAGTGACTTTGCAGTCCTGGCCTCTAGGGAGTTTGATAGAGATGACAGTTTTTACAGTAGTTCACATCCAAGGTAGCTCTCAGTGACCATACATCGTGTTTCTTTTCCCTCTTACATCCTACCCTGGTTTGCCATCCTGAATGTCCCAAAATGAATAAAGGGACTGTATCTTCTTGTCTGGCTAGGCTGTAGGAGGATCAGAAAAGAGAAACTACTTTTGTTTGTGCTTGCCTACCTCACTTCTCCAAAAATAATCTATCCCTGTTTTGTCTCTGCTAACTCATGTATGAGTAGCTTAATCTAATGTATTTAGAGTGACTACTGTTAGCAATAGCATCATCGGCCTGAGCATAAAGAATTTATTTCAGCCAGCGCCGCGACTCAATAGGCTAATCCTCCACGTAGCGGCGCCGGCACACCAGGTTCTAGTCCCGGTCGAGGCGCCGGATTCTTCCCCGGTTGCCCCTCTTCCAGGCCAGCTCTCTGCTGTGGCCCAGGAAGGCAGTGGAGGACGGCCCAAGTGCTTGGGCCCTGCACCCCATGGGAGACCAGGAGAAGCACCTGGCTCCTGCCTTTGGATCAGCACGGTGCGCCGGCCACAGCACGCCAGCCGTGGCGGCCATTGGAGGCTGAACCAACGGCAAAAAGGAAGACCTTTCTCTCTGTCTCTCTTTGTCACTATCCACTCTGCCTGTCAAAAAAAAAAAAAAAAGAAGAAGAATTTATTTCTGTAAAACATGTATTGGTTACTTTTGTAACAAATTACCACAAGCCTTATATATTTTTCTGTAGGTCAGATGTCAACATAGATTTAAAATCAAGGTGTCTACGGGCTTATCTTAACCTTCAGGAGGCTCTGAAAAGAATCTGTTTTCTTACCTTTACTAGTGTTTGAAAGCTGTTCACATTTCTTGTCTGTAGGTTCTTTAGCGTCTTCAAAACCAGCAATGATACTAGCTTTTTAATCTTTTTCCATAGTCACATCTTGTTCTCACCAGTTTGGAGTAGAGAGGATCTCTGTTTTTAGGGACTCTGCCATTAATTTGGGCCCCTCTGAATATCCAGGATGCTCTAAAACTCAAGATTATTAATCACATCTGCAAAGGCCTTTTGCTGCATAAGATAATGTTCCCAGGTTCCAGGGCTTAAGACTGAAATATCTTGGGGTGTGAGGGCTCATTCTCCCAACCACAGTTTATTTCTCTTTGAACTGCCTTTTTTGCTCTTTGGTATGTTGTATCATTTTGTTTTGAGAAGTTTAGTGGTTTTTTGTGTGTGGTTTTTTTTTTTTTTTTTTTTTGACAGGCAGAGTGGACAGTGGACAATGAGAGAGAGAGAGAAAGGTCTTCCTTTTCCGTTGGTTCACCCCCCAATGGCCGCCACGGCCGGCGCACCGCGCTGATCCGATGGCAGGAGCCAGGTGCTTCTCCTGGTCTCCCATGGGGTGCAGGGCCCAAGGACCTGGGCCATCCTCCACTGCCTTCCCGGGCCACAGCAGAGAGCTGGACTGGAAGAGGAGCAACCGGGACAGAATCTGGCGCCCTGACCGGGACTAGAACCCAGGGTGCCGGTGCTGCAGGCGGAGGATTAGCCTATTGAGCCGCGGCGCTGGCCTAAGAAGTTTAGTTTTTCCAACATGGGAAGTGAGATACTCAGCAGACTCATAGAATGGCAGATGTCCTAAATAGCACTCTGGCCTCAGAATCAGCCCTAAAGGCATTCGGATCTGGCTGAAAAGCCCATGAGAGTATTTCAGGCATGGAAAGCCAAGACACTCTGGCAAAAGATCTCTGTGAGTGAGATCTCAGTGGAAAGAACAGGTCTTCAAAGAAGGAGGTACCTTTCTCTGAAGGGAGGAGAGAACCTCCACTTTGACTATGACCTTGTCTAAACAAGATAAGAATCGGAGAACTCAGAGGGCTTCCATAGCCTTGGAAACTCATGACTGGAGCATAGGGAGATTACTGATGCCATAGACAGGAGTGTCAATTGGTAAAGTCAACAACAGGAGTCACTGTGCACTTACTCCTCATGTAGGATCTCTGTCCTTAATGTGCTGTGCATTGAGATTTAATGCTATAATGAGTACTCAAACAATATATTTCACTTTGTGTTTCTATGGGGATGCAAACTGTTGAAATCTTTACTTAATGCATACTAAACTGATCCTCTGTAAAAAAAAAAAAAAAAAAAAAAGAAAAGAAAAGAAAAGAAAAGAAAAGAAAAGAAACTATCAACTCCCAACTTGACTCTCACTGGGATTAAACATGACAATAGGTCTGATCTGATTTCATCATCATTAAAAAAAATCATCTATTATTTTTCACTTTATGTTTCTGTGTGGGAGCAAACTGTTGAAATCCTTACTTAATGTATACTAAGCTGATCTTCTGTATATTAAGATAATCGAAATGAATCTTGATGTGAATGGAAGGGGAGAGGGAGTGGGAAAGGGGAGGGTTGTGGGTGGGAGGGACGGTATGGGGGGAAGCCATAGTAATCCATCATTCGTACTTTGGAAACTTATATTCATTAAATAAAAGTTAAAAAAAAAATAAAAAAAAAGAAGTTTAGTTTTTTTTCTTATATCCTAATTTCTTCTATTTGTCATTTATTTAATAGATTTTACTTATTAGAACAATTTAAGTGTACAGAAAAACCCAACAAAGTTCAGAGAGTTCTCCTGTATTCCTCCTTTGCCCCTTTCCCCACTTCCCCTGCTGTTAAAATTAACATCTTGCATTGATATGGTATTTTTGTTAACAGTTGACAATTCAGTACTGATGCATTATTGCATCAGTCAGTTTTTTTGTTACTGCAGTGAAATACTTGCCATAAGCTACTTAAAAAATTTTATTTAGCTCCATTTTGGAGCTCAGGGGCATGTCATTGACCTGATTCTGGTGAGGACATTCCTCTCTCCCTCCCTCCCCCTCTCCCTCTCCCTCCCTCCCCTTCCCCTTCTCCCTCTCCCCCTCTCTCCCTCCCCCTCTCTGCCTCTCTCTCCCTCCTTCCCTCCCTCCCTCCCTCTCTCTCTTTCTTTGCATCATATCCTGGCAGATTACAGTTACGGGAGCATGTGTTGAGACAAGAGGTCACATCTCAAAGCTGTACAGTAGAAGGGACCAGTCTTGTTCTTTTTGTAACAACCTTATTGGGAGAACTACAGAGGAGTCTCATCTTCCAAGAGCATGGCCCCAGTGACCTAAGGACTTCCCTCCAGGCCCAACCTCTCATAGGTTCTGCCACTTCCCAGTAGTAACACTCTCAGAACCAAGCCCCCAAATTACATGAAACCTTTGGGGCTGGGTAATGCAAACCACATACAAGCTATAGATATCATTATCTAAAATTTGTAATTTACATTGGAGTACATTCTCCATGTTGTATATTCTGTGGGTTTTTGGTGAATGTATAATGTCGTATATCCACTGTTACAGGATCCTACAGATAATTTTCATTGCCCTAAAACTCTGTGTTCTACCTATTCATACCTCCTTTAGCCTGCACCCCCTGGCAATCATTAACCTTTCTTCTGTGTTACTGATTTTGCCTTTGCCGTTTCCATTCATATAGTTATATTCATACAGTATGTAGCCTTTCCCCTGTTCAGATTGACAGTTCTACTTAACAGTAGTCATTTATCGTTCCTCTATTTTTTTGTGACTTGATAGTGCATTTCCTTTTATCACTGGAAAACATTCTGTTGTGTGGATGTACTGCAGTTTATCTGTTTGCTGTTTTTTTTTTAAACATTTTATTTATTTATTTGAAAGAAAGTGAGAGAGAAAGAGAGAAAGATGGAGATCTTCAGTCTGCTGGTTCATCCCCCAAATGCCTGAATTAGTTATAGCTGAGCCAGATAA